GTAATAATTAACCGACTAAGAATTGGACACACTGCACTGACCCATAAATTGTTAATCAACAAAGAATCTTCTCCAACCTGCAGAAACTGTTCTCTCCCATTGACGGTGAAGCATATTCTGATTGACTGCCAGTACCACGAAGAAACAAGAAGAAAATATGGAATCTCAGATGACATCAAAACCACTTTAACCATAAACATTGACCATGTATTAAATTATTTAAAAGATTTACGTTTATATACATCTATTTAATGTAAATAAAATGAATTCTTGTGCACGTTACTCCACTAATAACCCTGCGTGGTTGATGTGGATTATATGTTAAAATAAAAAAAAGGTTTTATTGTTTTTGGAATACTTACTCAAAGGTAATAAGTCTTTCAGTTTAAATGTTTTATTTATGAATTTTTTCGTAGATATACGCCAAAAAGTAGTTTACTGCTGAAATTATATCAACAAAAAACCCACTTTATAAAAGTACTAAAATCCGTTAAAACTGGCGGTTTGCTTCTTCCTGTAAATTGTTGGATTGAAGCGGTTATTAAGGCATTATATATAAAAATAAAATGGCTCTAGGCCGCTAACATAGCCAGATATGATGATAACAGGTGGACACGAAGAATCCTAGAATGGAGACCAAAGTCAAAGATAAGAAGCGTTTGAAGACCTTAATAGCAGTGACAGTGGATTAGATTGGCCCAAGATACAGAAAGATGGAAGCAATTGGGAGAGATTTACATTCAGAAGTGAATGGAAAATGGTGTAAAAAGAGAGAGACACAAACTTTTTTAGTTAATAAATTAAACATTCCCTAGTAACGTCAATAATTGTTTTTCCGCGTTATCACATGGAGAACTCCATGGTGGTTTTCATTTGAAAATTTATGGCAAATGGCCAATTTTACTCACGAGGACCATCTTGAAAACGTTTCTTAAAATTAGAAATGCTTAGTAAAATATATAGAAAATTGGACGAAGAAAAAAGTTATTCACACATGAATTTTAGGAAAGGTCTTGGAACAAAACAAGCATTTTTTGGGGTAAATGTCTTGATACACTGATATCTCGATAGAAAGATCCCAAATCTTTAATGCCAGGCATGAAAGTATTGTAAGGTTCATTCTTGCGACAACTCCCCAAAATATCAAGGATAAGAATGACTTAAAACTAAAAACTAAATACTAGGCTAAATATATCTCACCCGAGACCTTCAATTTGTTAACTAAATAGTTATCAGAAAATCGTTTTACTACGATTTTAGTTTTTTTATATCTTGAAATATCGATATCGTGTTTCATATTATTATCGTTGCTTTAAGGATTGAATATAATATTTTCAATAGAATCGATGATTTTATCTTTAAATAAATCACCAAAAAATATAGAGGAAAGTCGCCTAATATGTGGTACGTTTTTTTTAAATACTATTAAAAATAACGTAAATAATTTTCGGTACTATTTTTAAATTTTAGGTTTTCTTGGACACTTTTTAAGCGTTTAGTAAAAACACAGCTTAAAAAAAAATACAAAATAAAATATCATCATCATCATCATTGGCTTTTATAACTCTTCGTGAGTTTTTGCCGCGTTTACTATTGCCTTCCATTGATTCCGATCCTGTGCTATTATTTCCCATGGCCTTACTTCCATCTTCTCCAGGTCTTCCCTGACTGCGTCTTTCCACCTTTTTCTAGGCCTTCCTGTCGATCTTCTACCATCTGGTCTTTCCCAAAACACATTGCTAATCAGTCTGTCGTCATCACTCCGTACCACGTGGCTTGCCCATCTTAATCTATTGGCTTTTATGTATCTTACGATGTTTCCTTTCCCGAAGAGAGTCTCTATTTCATTGTTGTATCTGCTAAAAAAATAAAATATGCGGTATTAAAAAAAAAAGTTTTCTACACCATATTAGAGACAAAGGGTCTAATATATGATACCATTTATAATGTAAAATTTCAAAATACATTCAATTATTTTTTGTTTTTTGGATTAAAACTCTTTATTTATAAAATCACATATAAAATACATTTAACAAAAAGGTATTTCTTTTAATGAAATGAAAATCTAGTTATCTAAGAATAACACCGCTCATCCACAGAAATCTTTTGCGCAACAGAAGAAGAAGAAGAATAACACACAATAAATTTATTTATCTTAGTAAAAGTCACAAATATACTGGTCTGTTTCACACCCAGAACGTTCAACATGAGCCAATTTGAAACAGCCCTGACACATCACCCATTGTTCACCTCTGTCATCTTCAGAATATGGAGTTTCACAAAAATACAAACGGCATCTTCTTCAAAGTTTTCTAGAAGGTCGTCCACATCTGAACCTTGTTCCTCTACTGCAGGGACCGAATCTAAAGATGAAGGACTGCTGGATCCTCTTTTAAGTTTATTTGTTTTTTTGGCCACTGACAATTTCTTTTTTTTGTTGGGCAGGTTTAGTTTTTTTTTTGTTTATTTGTTTTTCAATTATTTACCTTTCTTTTACCGCCAGAAGTTATTTTCCTTTTCCACGAAAATTCTTTATTTATTACTTACTATTCTTTTCTTTATTTATAAGGTAATTTCCTTTTTAAATCATCATCATCAATTAGCCAATCGCGTCCACTGCTGGACATAGGCCTCCCTCAGTTCTTTCCAGTGTTCTCTAGCCAGTTTCCCGCCATACGTTTTATATCATCGGTCCATCTAGTCGGTGGTCGTCCTCGGCTTCTTTTATAGTTTCTGGGCCTCCATTCCATAATACTCAACAGGTTCGAGGTTGTGAGCTCATACTTATATCTGGGATCATTAATCACAAACACAGGGTCATTACAAGAAGAGATTAAACGTAGATCTGATCTAGCAAAAGTTGCCACAGCAAAAATGACCAAAATATGGAAGGACTGTCAAATTTCAAGAGCGATAAAGATGAGGTTGATCAACTGCTTAATATTCCCAATACTGACCTACGGATGTGAATCTTGGACTCTGAGACAATCGGAGAGAAGAAAGATAGACGCCACTGAAATGTTCTGTTGGAGACGAATGTTACGAATTCCTTGGACCGACCGCAGAACAAATAATTCAATTTTAAGAGAACTAAAAGTTAGCCAACGACTCTCTAGTAAAGTCCATCTCCAACAATTAAAATATTTTGGGCATGTTATGAGAGCAAACACAGAAAACATGGAAAGACTCATAATACAAGGAAAGGTAGAAGACCGAAGATCACGAGGAAGATCCCCAACAAGATGGATAGATCAAATTACAGGAATATGCCAAAGACCTATGCATGAATTAAAAGAAATTACCAGAGACAGAGACCTCTGGAGACGGACAATACACGACATCACGTCGATCACTACACTCCCCCTGGGAGGTCAGGATTGAAGAGAGAGATTCCATAATACGTCTTGTCCACCGTCCACCGTGTGTTATGTCTAAGTGCCTTGTCCAGTTCCACTTACGCGTCGTGGTTCTTTCGATGACGTCTTAAACTCCTGATCTTTGCCTGATTTGTTGGTTTGTTATGTGGTGTCGAAGGCTCACGTTCATCATTGCACGTTTCATGGCTCGTTGTGTAACTCTGAGTTTATTCGCAGATTTTTGCGTGAGTGTTAAAGTCTCTGCTCCATAAATTTGTACAGGCAAAACACATTGGTTATAAACCTTACGCTTGAGACACATGGGTGTTGAACTTTTTAGAATATGGCTTAATTTGCCAAATGCTGCCCATGTCAGGACTATTCGCCTCTGTATTTCATGTGTTTTTCTTGTCTCTGCTTATTTTGATCTCGTGTCCCAGATATTTGTAAGTGTCTATTTGTTGTATGATATTATTGTCAATAGTTATATTTCCACTCATTACAAGATTTGTCATAAGTTTAGTTTTCTCAAAGTTTATCTTTAATCCTGCTCTTTCAGACATACTTTTAAGCGAATGTATCATAGAAACTGTATCCTGTAATATCAGCGATTTATTATAACATCATCTGCAAACCTTACATGATTTAATCTTTCTCCATCAATATTAATACCCATATCTTGCCATTGAGTGTTCTTAAATATTGAATCTAGAGCTCCCGTGGACAATTTTGGTGAAGTATTGTCTCCTTGTCTAACTCCTCGACCTAAGCTGAATTTTTCTGCGTCTTCGTGTAGTCGTATACTTGATGTAGCGTTCTCGTAGATGTTTTTGATTGGTGTCGTGTACCTCTAATCTATTCGGCTTTGATTTAGGGCTTCTAGTACTGTTTCAAACTCTACAGAATCAAAAACCTTCTCGTAATCGACAAATGTAAGAACCAGTGGTATGTTGTACTTGATGCACTTTTCTATTAAGATCTTTATAGTATACAAATGGTGGTCATTTGTGCCATATCCTGTCCTGAAGCCTGCCTGTTCTTTGGGCTGATAGAAATCAAGTTTAGGCGTTGGTCTTTTGTTAAGATTTTCATAAAGAGTTTGTACATATGTGTCAAGAGGCTGATGGGTCTATAATTTTCTAATTTAGTAATATCGCCTTTTTTGTGTAATAAGACTATTACTGCATTGTTCCACTCTTTTGGAATCGTACCCGCATGTAAGCATATATAGTTCGCTTACTGATTTTAATAGAATTTCTCCTCCTGCTTTTATTGCCTCAATAACAAGTCCATCATCACCAGACGATTGATGGTTCTTCATTTCCTTTAAAGCTGCTCTTACTTCTTGACACAGTAATAGGTAAAATTAAATATTAAATTAAATACTGCTCTCTAATTCATCTTTGTATGGAGTACTTGTTACAAAAGCAGTTTTGCCACTTCTTGTACTCTTTTTAGAATCCGGGGGGAAACATATTGGTTTTCTTAAACCCATTAATTGTTGTATACATGGTCGCTGCTTTTATATTTTAATCCAATTGGATACAAAGATAGATAATTTTAAAATTTATGACCATGATTTTTAATGTAAATTAATGTAATGTAAATTTATGAATATTAAATATTTTCTATTTTTGATTTCAGTTAATAAACACTGCCATTCAAATAAAACGCCTGAAGTGGACAACCGGGCAAGAAAAAAACTTATTATGGCCAGTATATTATGCGTAATATTTATGTTAGGAGAAATCGTAGGTAAGTAATATCACCGTAAAATAACAGACTCATTCAAAACCAAAGAAAAAATGTACCACTGGTGTTACCAGATGATTACACCCATCGAGCAACATCCATCCCTCGGACCAGAGGCCCCTTTGCATGGATTATGTTAGTCTCCGGATATAATCATCTTAATAACACCCTTGGTACATAAATAATCATCTTAATAACACCCTTGGTACATAAATAACTGTTAAACCATTGTTTTTAGTTGACAAAGAAGCGCATATGACAGGGAGGAGCTCATTTGTACAATGATAATTTAAAAAAGCAAAAATTTGTGCCCTAGATCTTGTTTCTCTTTCTTATACACGCCGCAGCCCGAGCGCCAGTTCTGTCATAATCGCTTCATTAATGATTACAAAACAATGTTTTAAAATAAAATTGGCCCACAATAGTTATCAGGAAATGATAGAACAAGGTTTGAACATAAATTTAGGTTCTTGGTGAATTCAAAAATAATGTTTTTTACTTGTGTTTTTGATCCTTGAACATCGTAATTTTGGTTTTTCTCAGTTTTAAAGTATTTATAACTCGAAAACGATCAAGTTTACTATAAAAACTTTAAGAGACTTATTTTGTTCAAAATGATCCAAAAAATAAAAAAAAAATTGTGCGCGTTGAAAAAATTTATTGTTATAATCTTCAGTTACATTTTTTCGCCTAGGCGACCTCTTGAACCTTATTTTGGGGTAAGTCATGGGAATATTTTTCCGAACGAACCCAAGCTTTTTGCCTTGTATATTTAGTTATAGTTGATAGTTATATAGACAAAAAATTTTTTTTGTATTCTTTTTGTCATATTTATTATGTGCATATAGAGTGTATTTGTAGCCATTTTCTTCTCTACTTTTCTTTTTTCTATTCCGAATATTTTTAAAGATTTATGATCATTTTTAACAATTTTTCAACACATATGACTATATTTTTAAAAGTTTGACCCAACGTTATCTATGTTTTTAATGCGTGTGCCATTTTTATTATTAAAACCATAATAGGAAGCGGTTTATTATGTAATATTTTATTTCTAAGTTGTTGACATTTTCTGCCTCATTAATATCAGTTAAAAATGGTTAATAAATGAAGATTGGTCGAAAATGGTTGTATTGAAATAAATCGTTCATGTATATCCACCACATGATAAATTCAGAATTTATTTACAAACATTTCGTGGAATTATTCTATTAAGTTGTTTCGTCAACTTTAATTATCAAATTATTAAATGTTTTTACTGTCGATATTTGAGTGTAGTGGATACACACTGCATAAATGAGAGGTTGTGAATTCGAATCTAGGAAAGATGGAATATTGTAGTTACAATTTTGTAAACATAGCTTCAATTTCCATTTGTCTACATGGGTATTTGCAATTGTCAGGTTGACTATTGGAGATTACGATTGAAATATCTTTTTATTGAATATTAGCATACAATTTTGAAAAATATGTTTAAAAAAAGGCATATAACTATTATGTCTAGATAATACACCCTTACCAAGTTCTTTATAAGGAATTTTTAATCTTATAATGTAGTTGTGTCACTTGATTTCACGCAAACCCTCTTTTGCGTCACCGTATATGTACCACTATAGTGTATTTTTATGTATGAGAGAGTAATAAAACAATAAATTATGTATGCAAATCCCTAAACTGTTGATACGGGTGACTCAATGAAAAACAGATATTTGTCAACAAGTTTACAGAAGTATATAGGAAAACAATTTTAAATTGAGTATGACCACCAGGTATAAAGGTTGGAGCAGAATAGAATACAATAGTTGTGAGGGTTACTAATCCCTAAATAAGGTTGCCAGTGTCGGAGTGATGGAGGTTAACAGGTACTGATGAATTTGCAAGAAATGTAAGATAAAATAAAACGTTTTATTTTATCTGAAATGAGTGCATTCCGCGAAGTAAGGGTTTCAACAATCAAACATTTAATTCTTTAATTCCAGGAATCTACGACAGTAATTGACTAGATAATTACCTTCTAAACTTATTCCACAGAAAATGTGATAGTGGGTTTTTCCATTTTGTAGGAAGGTGCAAGTGGCGTATTCAAAATTCTTAACAGTTCACTAAAAGTAGGTACTTCAGTTGCAAGGTGCAGTTTATTGTGTATACTAGTGTTATGGAAAATTTGGAAGTGCCGTGTAAACGCCGAAAAATTGGTCCTTTAACAGTTAATGAAAAAACATTAATATTTAATTGTTTTAAATCATTTACAGACAAACGTTTATGTGAAAGTGTTGATGAGACCGTTGAGTTAGTTAGCAGTACACTTGGTGTTGGGAAATCTACGATTTACAGAGTTATTAAAGAAGAGAAATGTGGTAGTTTTCAAATGCCACGTAATGCTCCAGGGAAACCAAAATTTCAAATAGAATATCATTTTAAAAACATTGGATAAAGTTCTTGTCTCAGTTCGAGATGATAAGGATTACCCAGAAATGAGTCGAAGTACGTTATGGAAACTCTTAAAAGAAATAGGCTTCCGCTGGAAAAAGAATCCCAGAAAGTCTATTTTATTAGAAAGAAGCGATATTGTCATATGGAGAAGACATTTTCTAAGAACCATAAAGGAAATGAGAAACCGAAAAAAGAAAAATATTTTATCTTGATGAAACATGGATCAACGAGGGTCATACACCAAATAAATTTTGGCAGGATGAAACTGTTACAAATCAAAGGCACGCTTTTGTAAATAACTTATCTACTGGTTTAAACCCACCATCAGGAAAGGGACGCAGGCTGATAATAGTACACATTGGCAGTTCAGACGGTTTTGTTGAAGGTGGTTTATTACCTTTTGAATCAACTCGTACCGGTGACCACCATGAAGACATGAACGCTGATGTCTTTAAAGAATGGTTCGAACAAATGATAAATCTTCTTTCTAAGAACTGTGTAATAGTAATGGATAATGCAAGTTATCACTCCAGACTTATAGAAGGACTGCCCACAACCAAGTGGTTAAAAAAAGACTTGCAGAATTGGCTAAGTTCAAAAAATATTACGTACCATCCCGGATCTACAAGAAAGGAACTTTATTCGTTGTGTGCCCTTCATAAAGAAAAATTTAAAAAATACGAAATTGATGAAATTGCCAAAAATCGTGGAATGACAGTACTTAGATCCCCACCATATCATTGTGAATTAAACCCGATTGAACTAGTATGGGCACAGATAAAGAGTGAAGTTTCAAGAAAAAATACCACTTTTAAAATTCATGATGTTAAACAGTTGTTTTTGGAGGCCGTAAATAATGTAAAACCTGAAAACTGGGAAAAGGCAGTAAATCACACTAGTAAAGAAGAGGAAAAAATGTGGAAGCTGGACAATATTACTGATAAAATGATCGAGCCAGTTATTATAAATCTTGGTTCTGAAAGTTGATCTTCTGAATCTGATTTGGATTTGTAACAAGTAGCTGTAAGTTTTATATTAATATTTTTATTCATCTATTTAACATACCTTAGACGGTTTTAAAAACTCTTTTTCTCTTTTGTAATTTGTAAAAATTAAAAAAAATGTGAATTTTTTAAAACCCTTTTTAATGTAGGCCAGTCAGTTCTAATATAGTGTGTGATAAGAGAGGTCACTTTTGTTTACATACACATAACACAACACTGAAATAATTCATTTATTTTTTACAATTATTCAAAGTAATTTTTCAATTAATCTTGAGCACGCCCATGGAGTGGTCGGAGGTACCAGTTAAAATTATGCTAATTACTCTCTCGTTCATAAAAATAAACTATAGTTAGCTCTTCATAGAAACTGATTTTTTTATACTAAGTTACGTTAGGCAGTAGACTTGCTTTATTTATTTATTAAAATACATCTAAATAGATAATAAAATTAAACATTATGTACAATATTAATAAATGTTTATTTGTTGTCTGAGGTGTCTGAATCCAGCGTCACCGTGTGTGTGTATACCACTATTCAACTCTTCGTAGAAACTGTGATACTGAGGTGGTATTACACCTTGATCGCAAAGGTACTTCCTATTACTACTAAAAATCTTCCAATTTTTTCAGCAGCCACTTTCATAGGATGAGTATATACCTTTTGAAGTTCTAAATTATTATAATAATTGGTAATTCCCCTTGTCGTCCGTCGTATGAGTTTGATTCTTTTGAATTCAGGGTAGGACTTGTCATATTTGAAATAAATCATGTTTAATATACTTAAGTAGGGTTATTTTCAGCCAGTTAATCTTGTTACCATCAGTGTCAAATTGTTTGTTTTTAATAATTTTTTTAAGCTGCAGCATCAAAAACATAGCTTGATTTATCTGTATTACCTTGTATTTGGATTGTTTTGATGCCATTCCGACCGCTGCATAACACCCAGCAGGATGATATATATTTAAGTTTTTGGTTGATTGCTCAATATGGGCGTGGGCCGAATCGCATTCCATCATTGAATGTCCTGGTTCAAAATAACCATGTTCAATTTCGGGAATATCCAATACCTGTACGGCTTAAAGAAGAGTCGCTGCTGAAAAGACATTCCGGTTTTGACCACCGCAAGTACCACTCATGACAACAAATTTTTTACCATTAGCATGGCCTGACAAATAAGGATGATATTTCATTAGAGCCTCTTGCAGCAATACCTTCATGCCACTTGGGACACTATCTCACAGCCTCTAAATCTATTTGTATAAAGTTGTTAACATTATTTTCTGCTAGCAACTTATTATCATCGTGAAAATTGCGTGCTGCAATCTTACGGCGAATATGATCCATATGTAATGGAAATAACGTAGGCTTTTGATCTACGCTGCAATTTTTATATTCGACTCAAGAATCACAGATATCTTTGCGTGGTTTATGAAATTTGTAATTTAAATTATTAAACATTTTTCTATAATGCCATATTTTCTCTGGGATACAATTTTGCTCATGGCAACGATCAACATACAAATTATATATTGTTGAAAGTGATAGATTTTCTGCTAAAGATTTATA